CTGCATGGGAGGAAGGGTAGAGGAGGTAGGGGGTGCGCCCGAAGGCGCGGCCACCTGTGAGGGTGGGGGTGGCTGAAGGCGTAAGAGGGCGAGGTCGGCCCGGAGCTGGGCAATCTCGTCCGCGATACCTCGAACGTAGGTCGATCGAGGAGTGGCAGGAGGAAGAGTRGAGGGGGTGGACGCACAAGCGGCGCGGGGCATCCCAGAGGGGGGAGAGCCAGGTGGCGCTGCGGTCGTGCGAAGGGGAGGGAGAAGCGGGGCACCCGGAAAAGCTGAGACCGTCATAACGGGTTGTTGTACCGTGGCCGTAGTGACCGGGATCTGGGCGGGTGCGCCCGTAGACTGAGGGGGGGCCTGGCTCGTGACGGCCGTCGTGCTAGGGGCATGGACAGTCACCAAGATGGTCGGGTTAGGGGCAACGGAGGAGGAAGCTCCGTCGTGGCCACCCTGTCGAGGGACGGGGGACCCGGACTGGGAGCCAGGAGATGATGGACACGCAGCGTCTTGGAGTTGCTGCATGCCGGCGGCAAGGGTCGCCACCTGCACCTGTAAGGGCGCAAGGGTCACGAGTTGCGCCTGGATGGGCGCAAGGGTCGCGAGTTGCGCCTGGATGGGCGTAAGGAGGGAGGTGAGGAGGGTGTGTAGATCCCCCTGGGGCTGATAGCCCTGGTCCGCCGGCACGGGTGTGGAGCCCGATGCCATGGTCATCGCCGTGTCGGCGGCGTGTGACGCACCGTCGGTTATGGGGAGATGACGGACCGGACTCGAGGGGGCCAGAAGAGGTCCGCGTGAGCGGAGGGCGTAGGGGGAAGTCCGCGGTAGAAAGCGGCAAACGGCGCTAGCAAGGCTAGCACGGGCGCCGTCAAAGGGGGAGGGGTGGTTCGGGTCCAAGGTGCCCGAAGAGGACGGGGAAGTAGGGGGGTTTTGAGGAACCCTAAACCCTACAAAAACCCGAAGAAAACCCTAACCGAGGTTTAAGTGGCTAGGGTAGGGTACCGGTGACCTAATCAAGAAAGTAAAATAGCAAGCATAGGGAGGGGGAGACGGGAGAAAAATAAATAAACAGCGAGATTTCGAGAGAAAATAAAAATAAAAATAAATAAGAAAATAAATAAATACTAAAAATAATTAAAGAAATAAGTAAAGAGATGAGAAGGGAAACAATATATATTTTTTTGAAATTTTTCGGCAGCAGTTCCCTACCCCCCACGGGGTCAAGAATGTGCCAAGGGAAAATGAGAGACTGAGGTGAGCACACTAGAGATGCCGCAAATAATAAAAAAAGAAATTGCAGAAAATAAATAAAGAAATAATAAATAAATAAATAAGTAAATAAGTGTGTGAGGAGGTGGGGAGAAATGGGTTATCTGATTTTTTTCAAAAATTTTGGCAGCATTTCGTTACCCCCATGGGGTCGAAGTGTGCCGAAAAGACTAAGTAAGAGAAAATCAGAAAATTTCGGCAGCACTTCG